ATGAGGTCTTGTTCAGCAGTGCAGTAGGAGGACTGGCCTCTGTCACATGGATGGCAAAGGGGACTGAAGAAGAGACCACTTTGGTAAGTGCAGCTGAGGGGCTAAGCAAAACGCAAAAAACTTTACAGACTTCTGCTGGAAAATGCTGTGATTTATCAGCCTTTTATAGTGCAACGCTAATGTATAATTAATTTTAAGTTTTTGAAACTCAAGCTTATGTATGAGAGCAGAAGCTAATTATTTGTATTATTACTATTAATTGTATACTCCAGTTTTCCTGAATATCCATATGTTGACTAAACTGCAACCTGCCGTTTCAGCCATACTTTGTTTATTCTTCACATACCTTTAATCACACTTAGGATAATGGTCTACCTTATGCTAAGTTTATTAAAGATATGAAAACTAGTATTTAGAAGGATTAAAGACAGGAAAGCATGAAGTACTAAGGCAGAAAAAAAGCAAGTGCTTCAATTACAAAAAACACTGTAGAAGCAATGCGTGCATAGGTTAATCATTAGATTTCTTGAAGGTCTGAACACCTCATGATAAGGCCAATGTATATGCAACTAGCAGCTGAAGTGGAAGAAGTTCCATTTCTCCACTTAGATCTTCAAAAATATTAGAGAGGTTTTTTGAGCTTTAAAATCAAAATTCAGTCATATACAGCTAATACTTCTTTAAGTTAGTTCAAGCATCTTGCCCTGTGAATTACTTTCAAAACTGCATTATTTGAAGGAGTTAGATGAGTAAGAAGTATGCAGAATTATAATGACAGAGACATTAAACGTGGAGGATTTTATGTTCCCCTGGAATCACTAGAATGAATGCTATATTTTTATCACAGATAGGCAGCAGCAGTGTTTCTCATTGTATTTGGTTTTAATTCTGCATATCTCCCATGTTCATAAACACTTAAATAGCTAATGTTTGCAATGACATGTTGGTGAGGTAAGAGACAGACTAATGGACAGTACCTGCAGGGGTGAAGGTGAAGGACTGAACTGCAAAACAAGAAAGCAAACACATTGTGAGTTACACACCCTTCTAATAAGCGCTAATTGCAGGGCACTAGTTTCCTCTGGGATTTACTCAGTTGTGGTTGAGTATCATAAGCAGAACATCACAGTTGAGCTTAAAGCACTAGCCAGCCAGCAGCCAATGAGAAATGAGAGTTGGAAAGGTGAGCAGTGAATTTTGAGTCACATTTGAAGACTTGCTGTGTGAACATGCTGTTCTTCAAACTGTAAACATTAAGATGAATTTTGAAACATGATCTGTTATGAACTTTCCTTGTTGAAAGCATACACTATTTCATAATTCTGATGATGGGGATTCTGTGTCATGATGCAATGTTCACATCACACTTAGATGCAGCAAGCGTCATGAGAAGGAATGGGTTGCAGGAGACACACTGTTTATAATGACTATTATAATTATTTACAGCTATGCATTTAAAGGTATAAAAGACTTTGCTCTTAATCTCCCCCCATCCCCAAGATGACAACTCACAGACAGGGCCTGTAATTCTGCTTTTAAAAATGGGAGTAGTCTTAGCTTGTATCCAAAGTTTAGAAGTCCTGAGAGTAATAACAGTACAGCTGTTCCTTGATATGAAAAATCTTGGTATCTTGACTGATATTTCATATAAACACATGTGTAGGTGTGTGTGATATGTATTAGTTTCTCAGTTAACACCACCTCACCACTCAGAGAGTAAAAGTCATTGCTGTTAAAGGAAAGAAAAAAAGAAAAAAACACCTTGGCAAAAAGCCTAACCTATGAATGACACAGGCCATGTGGGGCTGAAAGGTGAGGTTCCACAGGAAGCGAGTCAGTCCAAGAGCCCCTGAAAGGGTCCCTCCTCCCTCTGCTTCCACTGCTCGTCCGATCTTTCTTCTTGGGCTGCCTTGTTTCACTAAGCCAATGGAAAGCCAATCCAACAGGAATGATTGAAAACCAACAGAAGAGTGTCCTTCTGGTTTAGTAAGCCCAGTTGGGACACTGAAGAGTCCAAGGTGAGGAGGCACTGGCTGCAAGCAGGGAATGAATGTTGGGTTTTGCCAAGTTTTTAGAGATGCTCAGCCACTTGGGGAACCTGTGCCCTTGGGTTTTCATGGATAACTTGTAAATAAAAGAGTACTAGTGTAACTTTAGTGTGATGTAATGTCAGTATTAATTATGCTGTGTCTTCAACTGTGCAAATTTTGCTCACAGAGGAAATTTTTTCTCTTTTTAAATGTTAATGAGCACTACAAGCAAACCTACCTGAACATTTAAGAACAGCTTTTTTGTGTTAAATTAGGCTTCAGAATGACTCATTTTATGGTAATCCACCTGACTTCCTAAAAATCCATGAGAATCCTGAAGCGTAGAACAATACATAAAACAAACAGGTTGCATGAGGAAGAAAATATTTTCATTTGGCAAATGTATTTCTTTTTCCAAATGTAGTTTTCAAAAACTGATTTGTAACTGGAGCAACATATTTGGTGAAAAGGGATCACACTGTGAGGGCATTCCAAGGTGTTCTACCTCCAAGACAAAACTTCTTGTGGTTTCTGCCATAGATAAATTTTGATCACACTTCTCTGTCTATACATCACTCTATTCTCCTCCAGCTACAGGTATGGAGTCAGAGCTTAAGTACCTCCATTCACTTCCCACGCACATGGCTTCAAAGACATGGAAATACATGGGAATGAAGAAGACGACCAAATACTCTTTCTAACCTTCCTTGTAAGGGTCTAGTCTAAGTCACATTTGAGCACATAAATGGAGCCAGACCACTAACAGAGTGCCTTCTGAGCAAGAAGCAAGAGGTACAGTTAATCCTCTTTGAACTTTTTTTGTGCTAGATGTGCTGGAGATGCAAAAATAAAGACTGTCTTATGAAAATGATGAAATGTGGTACAGAGCAATGCATTTTAAGCTTCTCATACACCAGCATTTTCATAGCATACATTTAAAATAAACATAGAGAATTCACCCAGGCCACATTTGCTGTAAGTTTAACATGTTTCTCAAGTAGGTTTAACAGCACCTGTTTTCTTTGTGATAGAACCTGATGAGATAGTAATAAATAGTTACTGTTCTTACCAGCATAATTGCTGAGCCCCTTCCTCTTCTTTCTGCGCCAGTAAAGCCAGATGCTGAAACCCATCAGAATTACCCAACATGCCCCACCGATGCCAGCTATAAAGGCAGGCTGTTTGACAACATCAGTGATTTGCTCAGTTATGCTGTTGTTATTTTCAGTGATGACAACTTCGTTACGACCTCCTGCACAAAAGAAATTAGACAGAATGCTGTTATTATGGATTCTGTAATATCAACAGGAACCAAATACTGCAAATGAAAATAAAGTAAAATAAAAAAAACCCCAACAAACCAACCACTAATGCACCTCAAAAGAATTATCCACACTAGGAGAGCTTTAATGAGTACCAAGGCACACCTGAAAACAAATGTTTCTAGAAAGTAATTACATAATCCATTGTGATTTTGATAGCATATATTTGAAACGATAGCTCTACAGCACTCTCCCAAGTAATCTAACAGATGACAGTCCAGAGCTTTTTTTTTTAACAATATACATGTTTGTTGTGTTGCTTTTATGTATTTACAGACAGAATACAATGATGAAAAAAGGAATCATAGGAAACCAAGTTAAAAAAACATCAAGCAATCAATACACAGCCTTTTCAAATAAGAAATCCAAATACAAAATATGCTATAATACGAAAACAGAGTTCCTTCTCCCGTTGTTGTCAGCATGCCAAAAATTCTTACTGAACTAATTTTTTTTTCCTGCATTCTAGAGTTTCCAAATTTTAAATAAAATATAAAATATATGTATTTTCAACTGGGGCAAAGGTGCATTTCTCAGTAATTATTTCATGGGGGAAATAATCCATACAAATCCTAAGTGTATCAGCTTTGACACAAAGCAGAAAATCATGTAGTTAGCTGAAAGTTCTAAACAATCACAGCAACAGATGCTATTCTTTTCACCTAGAATGGGCATGAAAAATTCTTAACATCAACCTGTAAGAAATAATTGGAAAATCAATTAAAGTGATATGCATCAAAACTAACTCTGTAGGATCTTAAATTGTGTGTATTACATTAGAAAACTGTAAATTTCATAGAAGCTCCCATTGTTCATTTTCCCTATTTCTCTAAAAGGGAACTTTTCTAAAAGGAAAAGCTTGGTGTCTGGCTTGAAAACAACTGCTCATAAGAAATGTTAATGGAAATACAGGAAGTGCTAACGCATATAGTTCTAGGGCAGCATTTTTCTACTTCAAACCTGCCCTTGTCAAAAATGGTTAGTTTTAAAATTAGGAAATATGGAACATATTTTTCTGCAAAAAAATATGAACATTGATTATATGTACATTTGATATGAACTGCCCACATCTGCAGTTTTGGAATTGGTGAAAGAATTATCTGTCATTTCCAGTAAAAGCATTTATATAACTCAATCCTTGAAATGTTTGTGCAGGATTATCAGATGCCTGTATGCATGCTGAAGAGCTGCAAGAGTAGCTACTCTACGGAGACAAAAAAGACGCCAATACTAAGATTCTCTGTTATGAGAGTCTCTCTCACACACGTAAAGGTAGTAGAGTACGGCAATAAAACACTGAAACGGTGATTCAGGGGAAATTATTAAAAGTATAGTAGCATCACGCTTTGCTGTGAAAATACGTATTCCTCTTCTATGATTCAGCAGTGGCTAAATTTGCCACCCAGTTCTTTTAGCAGAACAGCCCCTGTGGTAGCACACTGACTTCAGCCTAAAGCAAACCAGCAAGGTCCTCGGCTACAGCAGATGCGAGATGTCTCGACACTTGGAGGTTTTTTTTCCATGGACACCTCTCTGCAGGAGACCTGGAGCTTATACCAGTCAAGTTACGAATGAGGATCCCTCGCAGAGGTCCTGTTGGACTGAGTGGGCCTTCCCAGCCCCAGCCTGCCCCACTGCCTCAGGACTGGCTCTGCCCCAGCCAAGAGGCAGCTTCAGGCCCTCAGTCATGTTCAGCGCTGGACTGAGTTACTTGGGAAGAAAGGCAACACGTGGCATTACAGTGCTACCACACTGATAATGATCTTGGTGATTTTATTAGCCTTTCTTTCTTTCAGCACCATGTCAATATTTAGTAATGATGACCGTCTGCTTTTGCAAACAGACTGTAGAAACTGTGCTAGAGCTTGGTTTGCTTTCAGTAGTTTTGTGTAAGAAACAAAACAGGCTTCCAGAAAACAAAATAGTTCCTAGGGAAGGACACTGACAGGCCACACCTGCTATCGTATAAAAATACAAAGTGTGCCATATACTGGACTATACTGGCCATGCTGGTAAGCTTTGCTTAGCATCAGGGCCTGGTAGCTGCAGCTGTCCTTTTCCATACTTCCTTATTTTGTCTTGCTGCTGCCAAAGACGCAATGGTTTCCAGTCCTGATGCAGTAAGCGACAATAAAACTCAGTGAGCACCTGTGACAAGGAAAGCAAGGGAGGCAGCGGTGGCTCCTTTGTTGGTTTCTCCCCTTTTTTCTGCCCATGGAACTAATCCATAGCTGCACCTCAGTGCTGAAAGAGAAAGTGCTGAGAGCCAAACTAATAGAAAGAGGCACTCTACAGCATGGTCTTCCAGGCACACAATTGATTTTCTAGTAGAAATCAGCATGGGATTTGATGTTGCTCTAATTGACATTAACTTTCAGTTAATTTCTGTGCTGCTTAGAGGAAAGATAAAAGCAGCAGGATAGTGAGGATACAGGTAATGTTGTTGCTGCTTTGGAGGCAGCTGTGCTGGCCACCGAGAAGAGTGGGTAGGGAAGCATTTCACAGTCACTGGCTTTGGGAGTAAATGCTCCTGGACTCCAGAAAAGAACCACTGTTTCCTGCTAAAGCCTCCAAAAAGTTGGAAGATCCCATTTTCTTCTCTAAGGTCATAACCCACTCTTTCAAGAATGGAGGATGTGAGAACAAACCACAGAGAACCTGGGGAGAGCTTTCAGCGGACTTTAGCCTCTCTCGCTCTTCTAGGGGAAGGTTCAATCTGTCTCCAAATTACCTCCTAAAGCTTGCAGTCTGACAGTTTGCTCTTAACCATCAGTGCCTAACAATTACAACTGCAGAAGTAATAATTCAAAATACATGCCAAAATAACATATGCTTTGTGAATTCAATGACTGAAAAATAAATGGATACAAATGAATGTTTTCCAATGTCATTTGATAAAATTAGTATGATCTTTGGGGTTTGGGTAAATAAATGGCATTAATTTTGTATTTCTTTATATAATATTTAAGCAGAAGTAATAAATATGTCATCCAAGGTACCAGTTTACTATTTCATATATTGCAGGTGTTTCTGTAACAATGCTGTCAGTTCAACTAATTAGAATGTAGACAAGGGAAGTGTGCGACCTGTAACGCTCCATTGTTCCCAAAGACAAAAACATAATGAAATATAATGTCTTCCTCCCATTGGAGAGTAATGAAGAACAGAACTAATTTGTTGGACCAAAAATTAATTAGACACATCAGATTCGATCGTACCTATTACTGTGAAAGTTTGCAGCTGTTCCTCATATTATGCCAATGATGGAACGTAAGAGTGAGCAGGCCAACTGATGAAGAGAAATAATAGCTAAACCATTAAACAACATTGTTGTTATCTCTAATTTTATTTCTGGTTTTCCAAGTGACATTTTTAATACATCAATTGTGATAATAAAGATTTTATTCTTGATTCTCTTTAAGTCTTCCATAAAATTTGTCACTGTCCTGATTGAAGTATGGGCACAGGATTCCTGTAACAGTGACAAAATTTCTAACTAAAGAAGTAATATACTTCCTATTTCTTCATATTCTCCTGGTTTTATTTTCTGGATTGTCATGGTTCTGTTATCTAGAATGGGTCTGGGAAGACAGTAGTTGATGATCCACCATGAAAATCAGTTATTTTCAGAAAAAAAAGGTCTTAGAAGAACATATCCTATATATAAAAATGACATCATCTTTATTTTTATACACCACTCTGTATTTCATGGCAATGAAAGTTGTGCCGTTTAGCAACACGGCTTAACTCTTCTGCATCACTGACCTGCTCACTCTATAATTCCGCATTTCTGCAGTTGTTCTTTCTGTTCGCAAGCTGTTAAATAGTATAGCTAAGCATAAGGCCATACAGGGCTTTATTATAACATAATCATTCAATAATGTTTTCCCATTCATGATGATGTTTAGAAGTTTATTCATGAGGTCATTTTTATGTATTTTTTTTTTTTTAAATTTACCTAAGAATTTAATTTTCTTGATTCTCAGTTAAACATTGAGTGATACAACTCCATTTTTCCAGAAATGGTATCACTTAAACACTGTTATTTTTATAAAATTTATAGTCTGAGAAATAACTGCCAGCAATTCAAAATGAACAGAAAAATGGGACCTAAAGAAAAGGGAGATACAGGCCATAAAAGTAATAACCTGTTGTGGTGTAGCCCCGGTAAGCAACCAAGTACCATATCCAGTTTTGGGTCCCAAAAGGGAAAACACAAATGACAGCAGAAACACAACCCAAACAGAAAAGGCTCTTGTTTACTTTTCATGCAAAGGACTCTTAAATGTTCAAACATGCCACCAGACAGGCTTGTTGAAGCAGACAATCTGGGATCATTTAAGGAACAAATAAATATTACTGTAAGTTTAATGATGCAAAAATTATGTCTCTAATACCAAATAACTTTGTTCTTTCTCTCTTTCATACTTTATTTGCAGCCTAATATCCCTTTCCTCCTTCCTGCAACAATACAGATCTCTCCATATTTAACTCTTGATTATGCTAGTGATTTTTTTAAGGAAAACTTCAGGGTGAAGGGCTGTACCCAGATGTGGGGCTGAGCATTCTGGGAATCATCCAGCAAAGCACTCTAGTGCAAGTTTAACTCGCAACATGTTAAGTGACACAAGGCTACGCTAGTGCTTAAAATGCAACACACTTAAGTGTTTTGCTGGAAGGAGCCCAGTGTGTTTAGTGCCTGGTTAGATGGACTCCCACTGAAACAAGAAAAGGTAGTCCTACCCAAAGTGAATGCAATGACAGATCAGTCTCACAATAGCAGTTATTTACACAGAGGTCCAAAATTCAGGCCTATTTGATGACAGGTTGCTTGCATTTTAAAAACTCAATGTCTTGTTTTCAGTTCTAGAAATTTTTTTTCCTTTTTCTTTGGTGTTTCTGTGGCTGTCATTTTCAAAAACCAGTACCACCTTCACCTCCACTCTTATAATCCCTTCTCCAGTGACAATATGATCAAAGCTGGCATACTCCAGTTTCTGGTTTGATGCATAGGGAATCTGAATACCATTAAAAATTTAAGCAATACTTAGGAGATGGCCTTTTCTAAAGGTCTACACATCACAGAATAGTCCATGTTTGGGACACTGTGCTGACAACATTTTCTACGAAGAAAATATTTCATAACAACAAAGGACCCACAGACAAACAAAAGTCTATTCAAGTAATAACTAAATTAGATTATACAGATTAAAGCAACAAAATTCCAGTATTAGACACATATGGTTACTTTTCCTATTCCTACCCTTCCCATATTGTTCCTGCCTTTATGTTTTATACTTGAGAAGAATTTCAGAAGAAACAGAATCCATGTTTCCCTCAGGTCAGGAAATTAATTCAGCATGGAAACCACTACTAAGAAATAGTCATTTCAAAGGAAAGGATGATAATACTACCTTTGCTCTCTATTTGGACTAGAGGCCACATATTCTGAGACAGAGGAAGATTGTCTGCTTGGGATACCTGAGAAACACTGACTTCAAATGTTCAGAAAACCGACTGTAAATAGTGCCTTAGGCACCAACGGTATGAGTAAGACAATATTACAGTCATCTGCACGGGAGGAAAAGGGAGCTCGAGCTGTTAGTTCCATAAATCTGTCAACCTGCAGAAGTGGTAAATTCATTAAAAAAATATTAACTCAGTTTCACTAGACAATCTGCATTTTCTTATATGTCTTGGAGATGTATTTCCCTCCACTGGCTGCAAGAACTCTGCACAGAGAAGACACAACGTCAGCAGACAGCAGACATTAAAAAATAACTAACTAGCTCTCTTGAAATCTTGTCTTTTGCTCCATGGATTTTTGTGATTCCAGAAGTGATTTATGAAAGCATTTCTGAAAGTCAAAACAAGCAAAACAACAAAACAGACAATCACTTACCAATTATTATGGGTTGTGGCTCACTTTTTACTCCCACACCTGCACTGGTGCTGGCAGCAACTTCCACACGGTACTGAATACCGGGATATAGGCCACCTATTACTACTGACCGAATGGCTGCGTCTACTGTTTTGTTGATATGAAATCGAGTCTCATTACCGAGGCACCAGATCTGGGACAAAAGTAGAGGTGTTAAAAAATATGAAATTCTCATGCTTATAAACAATCACACATAGATATGACATATCAAGGTATTGCATGACAACCATTTATTTTGGACTTTTTAACAATGTTACCGTCCAGGAGTAACTGGAATTGGGATTATTCATCTCAGCAAACTATCCCAGATTAGGACCAAGCCAGCTGCAAAGACTGCTTGCAAATACCTCTCTGGGCTCTGACTCTCCTTAGACTGCGTATTTTGTGGTTACACTTCTTAGAAGCACAGACCAGGATCACCCAAGCGAAAAAGAGGTGTTATACATTAATTGAAATCTTGTTCGCTAATCTTATTATCACCAAACCTTTCCTAAAATAAACTCCACATTTTTTTCATTCTTAATTTCACACTGAATAGCAACAGGACACCAAATAATAAAAGCACAGGTTAAAACACTTCTTAAAGGACTAAGGAAAAAACAATTTTCAAAATTCTTTTCAACTTCCTTTCACTGAACAACAGGGAGATATGAAATGTCTGAAGTGGAATAAGTACAATCTCACTTTTAACTGCTGCTTTTGTGATTACTTACATTGTTCAAGATTCCAGATATCAGTTCCTGACTCAATTACTCTCTAATCAAACAGAAAAGAACACTCTATCATCTCAGTTGCCATTTTGTGGTGAGAATGGTCTTTGATTTCAGAGTGTTATGTCTCTCTTGCATTTTTTCATAGCCTTTTCCCAAGAAGTTTCAAAACCAAGACCTTTTAGGAATTCTTCTGCAGTTACTGTTATCTGCATATACTGCTTCTGTATTATTAAAGAAAGCATTTACTACCACTCAAGAAAATCAATGTAGAAAGATATCACAGGTACTCTACATAATTATAATAGCAGAAGAAATCAGTATTGGTGGAACCACTATCAGCCACCAAATTATGTGTCTGAGCAACAGCAATACTCTCTTTCTCCTTATTTTTGACCCTGATTAGTGTTTTATCACATGTTAGCTAGAAGTCTTGTTCTCCTAATCACAGAATCACAGAATGGTTTGGGTTGGAAGGGACCTTAAAGATCATCTAGTTCCAGCCCCCCTGCCATGGGCAGGGACACCTTCCACTAGACCAGGTTGCTCAAAGCCTCATCCAGCCTGATGTTGAACACTTCCAGGGATGGGGCATCCACAGCTTCCCTGGGCAACCTGTTCCAGTGCCTCATCACCCTCTCCGTGAAGGAAGTTCATCTTATTTGCAGGCCATAATGCATTAGGGTGAGAAACTACTGTGCTCATTCTTTCAGTCCTTGTCTGTCCTGGTCTTAGGTTACAGCAGCTATGCTATGAGATTACCCTAATTTAAAGGCATTTAATTCATAAATGAATTTACAGGCACTCTGATGCCTGAAGTGGAAGCAACAGATTTAAATTCAGTTCATTAGAAAATGTGCTGTGAAACCTCACAGTCACTTTATACTCAAGGAATATAAGACTCTTTACACTATATTCACTGTAGCCAGCTGACTAATCAGGTCTCTACCTAATCTAACACAGAAGGATTGTAATAGGCAGTGACTCCAGTTGTTTTTATAAACAGCCTCAAGGTCTGAGTACTCACCTGGAACACGGATTTTATTAACCATCAGCCCACTTTGTTTCATATCTCCATTTTTGTGGTTTAGGAGTGTGCTTTACTTATTTGCCTATATGCCCTTGATGGTTAATATTGACTTGATACTGACTGAAGTCAGTATCAAGATTAATTAAGCCAAAATATAATTATTAATTGATATGAAAATAAGATCAATAAAACACTGGGATTAATAAATCTTCATATTGACTAAAAGCAAAACAAAAGAAATGCTATGCTAAACATAAATACTGTGAGCACTTACTGCATCCCTCTGACCAAGTGATAACCTGGAAGAGGTTGAATCATTAGTTGATTTAAAAGTCAAGCATTTTATCCCTTCTTGATGCTGTGTTCTCTCAAGATACCGCAGGGAAAAAATTATATATTTTTGTGTGAAATAATCTGCATCCACCACTTCCACCCTTGCTGTGACTAAGAAGGCTGCTCTTCTCTATTTCAATTAAAAATCTCACACTAGGTATAGAACTCAGCCAGAGCAAAGATATTTAACAAACCGTGTGTTTCTTGGTCACAAGCCTGTGACACTGAACATTGCCTGATCACTTCCTCCATAGTCCTCCACCTCAATAACACATTGCCCTTTTTCCATGTTGTGAAAATACACTTGTGCAAAAGCAAACCTAGTGGAGAATTATAGACCACAACAAAATTTAAGAATATATGTAAGGAGCGGATACTTAGAGCCATCACAGCAACAAAGAAGGAGAAAATACCACCAGTGCAGGTAAGTCTCACGTAACAAACTCTGGACATAGTAGGTGTTCAACCTGTTCCTCAGAGCAAACAACCTAGCCCTTTAATTTGTGAATCTTGACATAGAGAGTACTCGGAAGAAATCTTGTATTATCCCAGAGCCACAGTCCTTGACTTTGACCTTGAAGTGTTAGGATTAGCATTTTTGCTGGCATCCAAAGAAGTATCTTTCCTGCCAGCTTTTCTGTGAGATTCAAGGTGCTCTAAACCAGGGACTTCACTTCCCATCTTGAAAGTTCAGAAGCCCTTAACCAAAAAAAACACCTTCTTCTCTTTCCACAGCAGGGAAAGGCAAGAAAGAGAAGCACTGTAAATGAGCTGGCAATTACAGCTCTCTTCTAGATATAGCTCATGGTATTTTTGCTTTTAAAACAACAGTAGTGTGCCTTAAAAAAAATAAAAATCCGTAAGGAGTCAGTCCTCTTTTTCCATATAATTATATGGGCAGCTGTAAATGCTGTCAGAATCCAAATCTATACACAGCATTATTGTTCTGTAATTCAGGCAGGCTGTCTCCTTAAACACACAACCCTCCCATTAGGCATCGTTTCTACCTTATACTCCTGGATGACTCCATTTTGGTGATCTGGAGGGGGAGGGTCCCAGGAGATGCTGATGCTTGTGCTGTTGTGGCTTCCAACTGTCAGGACAGTAACAGACTGAGGAGGGGCACTTGGAGCTACACCAAGGAGAGGGAACAGACAGAATCAAGACATTAATCCGTTTGCTAGAGCACGAATTTTGCTGAACAGTGTAAGAGCAACCAGACGGTATGCAAAGCTCACACTCCCTGCAGGCCTAGGTATGCTCGTTTTGTTAGGCACTGTCAAGTCTGAACAATGCCTTTCTGAAGAGAAGGGTAGTGCTAATGACAGTGTGGAATTTGTGGCAATGGAAAATCAATACAAATCACTCCTTGTTTATTTATATTTAGCATTTCTTAAGTTTGCATTGGAGTTACTCTCACCCTTGCATTTTCTTCCTGTAATATGTATGGATAGCTATGGATACACCAAGGAAGTCATAATGCAAGGCTGCTTCACCTGGCCTGAAAAGTGTTTCGATTTTTCTTTCCCCACATGGTCTAACAATAATGAGAGCAGCAGATGTTCAAGGATCTTTTTTTGCTTCTCATTCGTTCTCCAGAAGATACTAACCTGACAGGTTTACACATCAAACCTTGCAACTCCTACGTGGAAAAGGGTTAAAGTGTTCAAATGCCAGTGAATAGGGGAGGTGCTAAGTTAGGTTAGATATATACCCATGTTCTCTTTTCCCCAGGCAAATCTTTCCTTCTCTTTAGAGTCCTGTTCAGTTCAACCTTTTACACCTGCCTGGCTGGCCACTGTGCATCAAGGCCATACCTGCAAGACAACTGCTTGGCATCCCTGCTAGTTGGCTGGAAGTGTAAAAAACAGATCATAGCTGTTAGTGATCAGAGCTATGCTGACAAAGCCCGTCTTGCAGCCCCAGCAGAAGCTGCAGGGTGCTTTTGTTGGCTCAGGACATGTTTGGGAAGTGGGGCAGCAGCTCTGCTACGGTAAGTCCCCTCTGTGAGCATCTGCTGCATCTCCACGTGGGGGCCCTCCCACCACGGCTATAGCACAGGGCTGTGGCATGTGTCCTTCCTCAGCCACTTCAAACTCCTTGCAGCCCCCTCTCTCCCCTCCGTTACTTCTAGGCAAACGTTGAAACTCCACCGCAGGGGTGAGCTAAGTCACCAGAGTCGAGGATATTATATTAAGGTTTAGTCCCTGAGGAAAAAAACTTATCAATAACAGCTGCACTGAACTGGTCCCAAGTATCTGTCTAGTCCATTTATCCCAGCACATCTATCCAGTCTTCAACAAAACTAATAGACAGAGGCTAGGAAAGTATGAACTAATAAAGCGAGCATTTAGCGACACTTCTCCAGGACAATTTTCCAATTCACAGAAGCCTGTTGCTGAGACACTTTCTGTTTCATGATGATAACTTTGTGTCTAGTAACTCCATATAAAAATTTTCTTCCACATATTTGTCATTGCCTTTAATATAATCTTAAAACATTTAATATGAAATATGGAAGCTTATTTTGAAGACTTACAGCAAACCTTGTACCAGAACCTGAAATACTTATCACTCCCCACTTCCCCAATTTCAAATCTAGATAGTCCTCTGGTTTTGGGCATCTCACACCAATGTATCACAGCTCCCTGACTCCAGTCTCCTGCTCTACAGTATTGCTATCTAGAGAGGACTCCTTCATTGCTAAGCTCTATGGCAACAGGACTCTAGTCTTATTTTTAACCAATATTCCTGACTGCATGAACATCCTTGGACCACACTTCTTGGAAAAGCAAAGAGCTACTGGCACCTCTGTAATAACATCTGGCAGGTTTAACACAGCTAAACACAGCCGCTGTGATACCCTGTGATATCAGGATTATTCTAGTTTCCTGAGTCAATCCAGATTTCCTTATTTTTCTCCATGGCCTCTTTGAGACTGGCTGTGTACCCACTTTGGATGCTCCTCGGTACTTGACCTGGCACAAGCTCCAGGAGCTGAGCTCAAATCTTTACCCTGAAGAGTTGGAGTAGCCTGTTGCAGGAATCACACAACTTAAAACACGGATATGAGAGGTGGGGGCAAGGGACTGTACAAGATTATGTCAGAAAAATATATTTTAGAGTAAACATGACACATGTACTACTGTCCTGTGGGGATGCACATTTTGACAACTACACTTTCAGATGCTGGTTCAGCTGCAGAGCAAATAGGGATAGGTGGAGTCCTTGTGACCTTGAATGAGGCAGAGAAACAGCGTACTGGGGGGGAGAAATGCAGCTGTATTGTGGACAATTTGACTCTTAGCCAGCTCAAGTGAAGCACGGAAAGGTGGCCCTGGGCTACTTCTTGCAATCGTGCAAAGCATAAAACTGGTGAAGTTAATGGTTGCATTGTGTATTTTACAGCAAGTGAAATAACTTGCCACACAGTTAAAAAATTAGCATTTTAAAAGTCTTCAAGTTATTCAATAACAACAAAACCATAAATAAATGTATGTGTGCAATATTAATTAGAACAACATTTCACATTAAAATAATAACCATAAAAATGGCAAAGCTTAACACTGTATAACTCATTTGCGGTTTTAAGTACAACGGAACAACTTGCTGCAATGTGTATTTACTTTCATCCTCAAACATAAAGGGCATCTAGAAATATAGTTTCTTATATACACATACCTGGAAACACAGAGAGGGCGACAGGAGAGTAAATGCTAAAGAAATGTAAAATGAATACCGTACTCTAACACTTAAAGGAAAACATAATGCATTAATTTGTCTTTGCATTTAAACTGCATGAATATTCTAGTTAATATTCTACCAGTATGTGACTTTTTTTGAGGATATATGGGAAGTTTGAAGCAAAATTAAATTCACAGCTCTAAGTATCATTTTAAGAGATGCACTAAGGCAAGCAGGAATTGTCAAGACAGCCGCTTATAAAAAAGTAAGGAGACTTCCCTTACTGACTGTTGTATTTTTGTGGTGACAAACAATATGCAGAACAAATACTACTCCACGAAGTTATTTCAAAAGAGATTTAAAACACTGGATGCAACTGAAAAACAAGTCATCTATCTTTAGAGCAAGTGTGAAAGAAATAGAGAAAATTATAAAATATTTTATTTACCTCCTTTTTGTAGGTGTATACACATATATGTATATAACAGTTCAGCTTCCTCTCTCTGATAATATCACGCTGTAAGCTGGCACCATGATATAAATTAAGCCACTCGTTTGACACTGCTGCAGTTATTAAACAGACCACATTGAAAAATAACATTTTTAAAACCGTTTTCTCATTTCCCTTGCTGCTGGCTTGTGGAGAACACCTTGCCTGCTTTTTGACAGGTCAATTATTCCAGTGCTCAGCTTCTTCTTACAGATATGAAAGAACCCAAATCGCTGCTCATCTTTTCCAGACGCAGCCAAACTGAATTCCATTTGTTACCTTCACAAGGCCAAAGAGGCAGGAGATGGATGGATACCAAACTGTGACAAATGTCTGATCTAGAGGAAAAGTCTAACTGCAGCAAAATTGATTTTTGGAGGTAGGCCTCCGAAGTAACACTGCATGTAAAATTCAATCCAGCAGACAGCTGCCACTACACTTTTTGGTAGTACTTTGCCTTTAGCAGGGCTATTCGTTTTGATGTTGCAAGAAACTTCCAACGCACATATCACTCTTACAAATTATTTTCTAAAAATAGTATGCCTGACATTTTTAAAAAGTCAAGTCTAAAAAAGCTCATTTTCAAAATGGAATCAGAAGCGACATAGCAAGTGGGATAACTTTAAACAGACTGCCATATTTCTTCATTGGATGAGAAGCAAACCACTGTTATTAAACATTTTGTTGATATTATCTTTGAAATTTATGAACACCAATATAATTACAAAGATAATGTGAGGAATTAAAGGAAATATCTGTAGAGCTTCATCTATCGAATATCTTAATTTTCTCATGGAAGTACTTTATCACCCAAGCAACAGAAATAATTATTTACAGGGGCTGACATTTGTCTGATAATAATACTACCTGTTATACGCTGATGGTTTTTTGAGAGAGATACTTGTAAACAGACTCCTTGAAGGTTATATTAATCTACAAAGTGGATCCCAGTCTACAAGTTCTACATAACTGTAGGCAAAAATTCTTTTTTAAATCTTCACTATGTGGAAAGTTATTCCACATGAAGAAAGTGGCCTTTAAAGTAGGAAATTACCTGACAGGCTCTGCTGGGAGATGAGGTTTCTAAAAGAAAATGTCATTCCCCAAGTATTTCATAGAATAGACAGGAGGTACAAAATCTTCTCTCTTTTTCAGGAGTTCTTAATTTACCTTTAGCAAGAGACAGTTAGGTGAACTAAATAAACAACAAAAATCAATTGAAATTGAACAAGAAGAAAATCTGCTAGTGAGGGGACAAATTCCTACATTTTAACTCTAGAAAAGCCATTTCACTTGTAGAAAACTTATTTGAATTTTCTTTTTTTTTTTTTAATGCTTTGTTCAGACTGCTGCAAAGATATTCTCTCCTACTGATTTAGGGTTTATATTCTGAACAAAGACATGGGAACCATAAAGTCACAAATTCTAAATCAAACTTGAACAATGCCTTCCTACATGCTCTTCTACATGTTGCAGGATACTGAATTTCCTCATGTATAAAGTATGAACAGCAACCAAGTTATCTGCAGGATTACTTACTTGTTGTGCAATAATCATGACAAATCAAAGAGAAAAGTGAGTAATAAGTGAGTCTGAGAATTAAAAAGTACTTGGCAATCAGCACTAAATTGAACTTCAGCAGACTACTGCAAATTATTAAGAT